AGGGCTTTATTATCATTAGATGAACAAATTTTAAAAAAGAAAAAAAATGATTTTGAGTTTATAAAGGCTAAGATCTTAAAATTCACAAAATGAAGGGTCTAGATTCGTTTTTAGAGGGGACTCATTTTGATCATATCTAGGGTTCAAATTGAACTCTTTTTTTTTGGGGGGATTGATTATTGAGATGAAGAGAGTTTGTGTGCAAAATTTGAGGTCATACAAATACCACAAACATGGTTTTCTAGAAGTGTTGTTGCATTATACTATGATACAACCGTTGCATTGGATCATTGCTCATCTTGAAAACTAATGAAGTTGACTATAATGACTGTTGTACGTTGAAGCTCTAAACCCGACATATTGATTTTTGGCAAACAAAAAAAAAGAAAAAAAAAAAAAACAACTATAAACAAGCACGAAAAATAAAGTAGAAAATAAATAATGAAAAAAGAACACTAAGATTTTACGTGGTATTCTCTCTGTAGACAGAGTTAGTTTCTGCTTGCTCTCACATCTCTATTTAGTTAGTTTGGTAATAATTGCTAAAAGCAAAGACAAGGAAGAACGACCGGTGATGCCAGTCGAGAGAATGGTTTCAAGGGTTACTCGACTAGGTATTATCAAGAGTTAATAAGATACCTTTTGTATCCCAAAATCTATGATGTAACACTCATCAATACAGTGGATTTCAGTTTGTCATGCCCGTGGATGTAGGCCTTTGGGGTGAACCACATAAATTTGTATTCTCGTAGTATGGGTTTTTAGGATTTATTTATCGAATTATAGTTTGTACTCTCCTATTTTGTTTCTAGCTAGTTAAGTGTATGGTCCTAGTGGAACCCAACTCTAGGGGTTCCTGTTTCCACGTGTAAGAGGGTTCTTAAATCCTAACAATGACAACGATTAATGGCAATGAAAATTGTATGTTACACTGTTAATGGCAACAAAAAGCTGTAGGCAGTAGTAAGATGGCGTAAAGCAATACAGAACTGCTAACAAAAATGGAACTTCTATATGGCAGCGAAACCATTAACCATAGCACTATTGCATAAAGCAATACGACTGGCATAAAGCTCAAAGGAGGAGCACTAGCTTCAAGGAAAACCCAATTACTGGCAACAAAAAAATCCAATGAGATATAAACTTCAGTTTGTGCATGACCAACCATCTAAAACTACACAAATATGAAGTAACACAACCTGTGCTCAATTATGGACCTCAAGAAACGAGATACTCTCATTGTTGTCAAGGAACTAATTGCCCCTACTCGAATCCTCAAGATGCAATAGGGCATTGTTGATGATACATCCAAGACAACACACAGCCCAATGAAGCACTAAAACTCCATTAATTTTCCTTCTGAGTAGACCTCTAATCGACCTTGAATGGTGGAAAGGAATCAAAAGAGATTTGGCATAGACAGAGAAAAAACAATTGGCCAACAAGGAAAGGAGTTACTCTTTTAAATACCCTAAACAAATCAGGAAATTGCCAGGTAATGACCATAATTGTTTTGGTATAAAATTACCAAAAGGATAATAGAAAATAACCGTAGTTGTTTCCAAATACATGCAAAACATTAAATTATCAGCCCATTTTTTTGGAAAAAAAGATTACATTATGCATGTGTTGATTAATTCTAGCTGGAAAGCGTCAGCATTTCTGCTTTGAACTAACTTGTTAAATTATCAAGTGGACTTGGCAATTCAAACTCAATTGTGTGTTAAACTAACATGTACACATGAGTTATGGTCATGGAACATGTGAGGAAGAAAAAAACCAATTGAGAAAAAAAATGATGTGCTTGTTTATGTTTCAATATTGATGGACAATAGAGTTTAATAAAATGCCGATCCGGATTGGGAATCGCCCTGGAAAGTCCAATCCCCTGATGGTATCAGGAACGGAATGATCCAACCGTGGATTGCCGGTTCTTGTCAACCAAAATATGACAATCTCTCCCATGCACTTCCAAACATCTATTGGTATACCATCTGGTCCAAAAGCATTTCATATCTTCATCTTTATCAAATCTTCTTTAACTTTACATGTCTTAATCCTACAAAAGTATCTATGACTTCCGACCTCATTTATGTCAACTGATCCAAAAGAATTTCATATCTTCATCTTTCTCAAAGCTTCTGTCACTTTACATGTCCTAATCCTACAAAAGTATCTATGACCTTCGACCTTATTTATGTCAGTAACTCCTCCCAACACTAAGCTCCTAAAGTGGTCATCATTTAATAAATTTTGTAAATAGATTCTCCACCTCTCATTGACCTCACCATCCTTCATCAACATGCTCTAATCCTACCTTTTAATATATTAAATATGATATAGGTCCGTACACTTCCCCTCTCCCTCATTTTTGCTAGTTTGAAGATATCTTTTTCAGCTTCTCTTGTCCCAATTTATTATATAGATCATCATATGTCATAAACTTAGCCTTACTATTTTAATAGTGTTCTTAACATTTCTATATTCCTAAATTTTGATCAATTCTGCTGTAATAAATATAACAATTAAAATTCAAAATATAATACTTCATAAAAAAAATTTATATATTCTTTTGAAATAAATATTACAATTACTAAAAAAAACATTAATATTTAAATTTTATACATTTGATTTTAACAAATACAAGAAACAATTTACAAGATACTACTTTTTTGAAAATATTTCTTATAATGAAATAGATTATAAAACATAATTATACGTTCTATTATAAGAACAAATATTTAATAAATATAGTAATCAACAAATTCTTTAATAAATTTCATTTTATAGCAAAACAAATAAAAATATACAATGAGCCATCAATATAGATCAGAATATTCAAGAAAAATAATGTAGACCCCGTAAATCAAAATCCCTAAAACAATTTCACATTATAACGCAAAAATAAACTATTTTTTCAAAATTTGTGAGATTGTTTTTACCATGAAAATTGGAAACCAGTTAAGAAAATTCAAGATATTTATAAAATTAAGGAAAAAAATCAAATTATTGACATTTATCATTCCCAACAAGATATCAAATAAAACCCCTGAAAACATTTAGCAATTTATTCATAATTTTCTCAAAAAAAGAGCAATTTTCAAGAAACCCTAAATATAAGCAGGTTTGGGGCTTGATCTATATAACAATCGGTTGAAATCCATTAAATTGAATAAATGATATTGTACAAAGATGAATGAAGATCCATTTGTGAGCTTTGCAATTTGGTGGAGTGTGCACAAAATTGAAGCCCAAGCCCTAAATCACTCCAAAAAAAATTGAAATAAATAAAAGTCGAAATAATTTTTACAATTACCTGATGTAGATCACTCCACTAGTGATTGAGATGGAAATTCCTCAAGCAATTGAGCAAAATCAAAGCCATAAAAGATTTTTCAAGTTAAGAACTCTCGGCCTTCAAAAGCCTCCTAAAAACTTCAGCTATGATCTTCAATAGAATGGTTTTTCAGTTTGAGCATAGAAGGGCCTAGACGGATCAAATACTTTCATAAAGAACAGATTTTCAACTGGAATAAATCAAGATCAAAAGAAAAAGAGAGAGAGAGGCAGATTTTTTGGTATTTCTCATGAGAATTGAGATTTTAGCCAAAACAAATGATTTTTTTTTTATTTGATTCAACTTTAATGCCACCATATGGATGACGATGGATTCATAGGTAATCGAATAAGGCCAAAAGATCACAAGTAAAAATTTGTGAAAAGTAAAAAATAAATAAAAAATCAAATAAGTTAAAAAAGGCAGAAAAAACTCAATTATTGATGGATCTTTTGATCCACAGATTCCACTGTAATCGATAGCCAGTTCTCTGATAGGAAAGATTCATCAGGACCCTGATATGATCAGGGAACCAGATCATCCAAGGGCGGTTCCCGATCCGAAACATCATTGATGAAATACAAACAAACATATCTGATTTTAACTTTTCCACACGGTCTACTAACCACAACACTTGTATACATGTGAGTCTGTACCCTATAGAGTATGTATCACCAAGTCGACCTGATTGTTTAGCAAGTTAATTCGTAACAAACAACATATATCTATTGAACCAAATCCCTAACAAAAATCAACATGTATCTAGCAATAGGAATTATGATGGTTCATTCATGGAGTAGAAATAGCAGCAGTTTCAGTTGCCAAGGACTCTAGCATTATTTCCTATTATACTTCTCCCCAAATCCCTGTCTTTCTCTCCTTTCCTCTCGTGCATTATCTTTTTTTTTCTTCCTTTTTTTTTTTCTACTTGTCTGTTGATGTCTATGTCCATGCATGTATGCAGTTGTGCAACATGACCCATATGAATCAATCAAACTCGATTACTGAAATATATATATATATATATATAGATATATATATATATATATATTGACGGGCAGGCTGAGTTGAGTACAGGTTAAAGTTTTATAACCATAGCATCCAATATAAGTTATGAATTTTCACTAACTACATTGAATATATGTATGTAAAATCATCTCAAATAATGATATGCATCCAGAGCAAAAATTAGGAATTTGCAATCATTTGAGAGTCAAGTAGAAAAAAAAGGGCAAGATAACATGGATATGATTGGCAGCAACAGCAAATACAAAATGTCATATACTGTCTGCATGTGGTTGCACTTTAGATGTTCACATCAACAGATTGGTGTAGCAAAAGCTTTGAAGTTCATGAAAAATCAAAATATCAAAAGGAAGACCAGAAAGGTGGAGAAATTACCTAAATATCTTCCAGATACGGTATGATCTACGAACTTTGTGATTTCTGCATAATAAACAACACAAACATCAAAGATTTGGGTGCCAATACACTTAATACAAACGAGATTTGTCCCCGCTAAACTATGGCACTTGGCGTGATTTAATACAAATGGACTGATGATAAAGAACATACATAGGTATCATTGGATCAGGATTTATCCCCACGAAGTCATCAACCCTGCCAAAAGTAATATTTGCTATCACATTAGGATTAATCATTTTCTAACTGCAATTGACTTATAACCAAAAGTAACAAAAATGTTGGGCAGGTGCTAAAACATTTCAGAGGCAGAATCCCTATTTTGCTACCTACAGATTACCAACAAGAAAAACTACATAAGTAACCAATCATACTCTTTGCAGCAAATAGAAGCAGGTGGAAGGCTTTCAAGTGACCGTAACTCCTCCTGCTTACAACAGAATATAGAAAAATGATTCATAAGACAGCTAGTTTCCAGTAATTGTATAGACTAACACAGATCATAATTCCATTGATACAAGATTCAGTATCCTCATGACTTTAAATGATTGAACATATAATACATTACAGCTACACCACCGACCATTTCATGCAAATATTCCTGAATGAAAACCATTAGTGCAGTTAATTGTCCATTAAGAGCATGATAAGGCGTAAGATAAAGTAATAAATGCATTATCTCCCTAATTCATCTTCATGGGAATCAAGCCCCAACTCTTGATTATGGAAGCTCGACTACCCGAGCAATGGATGTCCTGGACATTTAGGACCACGGAGTATAGATGCACATGGAACCATTTGCCTAGGTCCATTAACATTATAATAGTATATGCATTAAGGTCATAATTTCATTAAATGGTTAATGGTTATTGCGTCCAAATGACCATGTCTAAGAATTTCACCACCAAAAGAGAAAAAGGAACGCACACCATTTTCAAGTGCATAACCCCGCAGAAAGTGTTTTCATACCACTGGTATGCATAACGTACTCACTCCACTTGAGGAGGCAACAGCCAAAGGCATCAACTTTATTGTTTTGATATGTAGCATAGGGGAACATCCAATTACTCCTAGCAAGGAATTTGCTCATTGATACCAAACAAAGAGATTCATCCTTTATATAAGAAAGACGCATACAGATTCGTTTACTGAATTGATACATACAAGTAGAAAAGAGATTTAGATTAAGCCATATATCACATGCACAAGGAAGCACGTGTTCTCTAGAAGGCTGGGACAGCTCAATTCACAGGGTTTGGCAAGTTTCTTAGATTTTCAATCATCGAAATCAGGCACTCTAATTCATTTTCATGATAGATAGCTATATATGTTACTCAAGGGGCATTGATGCCTAATGATATGGAGAACTTCTGCTCAACCTAAAAGTCATCTTTGAATTTAAGCTCATAACTAAGTTTAATCCCACTGCCAATCTATTAAAAAATCCGTAATTAAATTTAGGCAGTCAATCAAAAAAGAGAAAAGGAAAGAAAAGGTAGAAGAAAGACAGCCAATGTGACGAATCAAAGTACATAAAGAAAACTCCGTAAGACTTCCTTGTCATCTTGTGGATCTAAAACTCCTCCAGTGAAATTTTTTCTAGATTTTCCAACTGGGGTTAATCGTCTCACAATTGATGCAAATGGAAAGGTGCCCTTAGGGCTAGGAGTCCAAAGAGGGTAAAGGTCCTGTGAATTAAGACCTTTACTATCATAACTTGTCATTTGATACCATAAATAATTCGAGAGTTTAGTTTAACGTATCTATTGTCCTTGCTATCATAACTTGTCAATATGGATAAAATATCACTTTTATCATCAATAAAAGTTCTAAATGGCATCTTCTACTTAGTGCATCTCGTAAATCTGTGAAGGATCAACCCACAACCTCATGTCATGTGATTGTGCTTGGTATGTGAGACATAGTAGTGTGGACTGGAAATAAGGTTAAAGGGGCAAAATAAACAAGAGACCAGGACAATACTAAGCATGCCCTTGTCAAATTCCAAGTTCCAATTTGCATACCATCTCGAATACAATCACACTGTAACCGCATTCCCCATATTTCATACTGCCCGAATCCCTATGAATAGGGTTTTGAAAAAGGTGATCAATGGGCAGAACTGATCTGGTTCAGTGAAACGTCCAGTTCAGATCCAGTTCACAGGGGAAAGTTTGTATAGAAGCTAAAATACTAATAGAAAAAAAAAAATGGTGGAAACCGCGTGAGTCCATTGTTTTTCTTTACCCAGACCGATAACCCAAGGGTTCCAGTTCGGACCAGGTGAACTCGGCAATCCATTTGGCTTTTCAAAACACTGCCTATGAACAAAAAGCATCTTAGGCACGAGAAACCACTCGAGGTTTCCAAGTAAAATTTTTTCCTTCCACATCCTACACATCAATTGCAAATAAAATAAATTGAAAATATATACACGAGTACAATGGCTAAAGCCGAGTTCTCAAAAGTTCTAATGCATTGCACTTGACGAGTTCAATAAAAAGGAAAAAGATCAAGATGTCAACAAAGTTGTCACGGTTTGATCTATTTACAACCAACATGCTGAAAATCGTAACAAAAAGACCAAAACAAACACATTTCAAATGTATTTTCTTATTTAGTTTTCCTTGAGCAAAACATCTGCTACAACATTCTCATTTTCTTCCAAAATTTGAATACACGCAACTTTTTAAGGAAAACAATAGAGGCAGAATGAAGTCTAAAATTTTCATTTGTAGGAATTATCTCTCATTAATGGAAATTTCACACTCGAAATAAAGACATTGACATTTCCAACTCCAGAAAAGTAATGAGGTTCCATAATCTGGCAAAAATATCACGGCTACCAAAAGGAGAAAACAAGAGAAACTTACAGAGATACTCACAAGCAAAATTAGTTATTTCTCCATTTAGAATACTTCATATTTCATACCCTAGTTTCCGGTTTCAAACTCTGCCAAAAGCTTCAATGCAAACCAAAAGGAGAAATCTGAAGGAATAAACAGAGAAACTCACCTGCAAATACGTTATTTCTCGATCTAGGTTTTGTAGCTCGGCCTGCTTCCGATACCTTCCATATAAATCAGGATAACTCGGTGGAGTTCTTGGAGAAGGCAAAGGCAAAGAAGAAAATGAAGGAGACGAAGAAGAAGAGGCAGCATCAGCGGCCACCATTACTCTTTCTGCTAAAATTCACCAATGAAAGATCAAAATTCACCTGAAAAAAATCGCCGAGCCACCTGATTCCGGTGATGAAGAGGCCGGAAATGACGTTTTCCGATTAAAAATTAGGGCACGGAAAGAGATAAAAGGGAGGAGAAAGCTTATCGTAAAATTTAGGGTTTTCTCTGCAAGGCTGCCACGCCTGCTCTGATAACTGTTCTTGGTCAGCATATCAATGCACTCATTTAAATCTTCACCGTGATTGCGAGCCGTAGGTTTGTTGTCCATATAGGTGAAAAGAGAAGAGAGAGAATGACGTGATTCTCGCTCTTATATAGAGTGAGAATGATGAGATTCAAGCTGTTTTTAGAGAGAGATGAAATTCTCGCTCTTACTCTGCTTTATCTGTATAAAGAGGAAGGTAAAAAAAAGCCTGCTACCTTTGTACAAAACCATGACCAGTACCTCTCTCTCCACTCCCTCTTTCTCTCTCTATTTATCCCTTTCTCTGGGAAGCGCTCGCGCTTCTTTTCCTCTTTGTCATTTCTCTCTCTTCTCTAATTCTCTCTCCGCATTTCTCTCTCCCCTCCCATTCTCCCTTCTCTGGTTCTCTTGTTATATCTCTCTCTTCCTCTCTCTCTTGCCATTTCAAAACCCCTCTCGCCATTTCTCTCTCATCTCTAAATGCTCTCCTGTGTTTCACTTCTCTCTCTTCTCTAATTCTCGCTTGCAAGTTCTCTCTCTTCTCTAATTATCTCTGCAATTTCTCTCTCTTCTCTAAGTATCTCTGCAATTTCTCTCTCTTCTCTAATTCTCTCTCTGCAATTTCTCTCTCAAAGATTTCCCCCTTTCAATTACTCCCTATTTTCTTTCTCTCTCTAAAAATGGGTTTGTTTTAACTTTCTCTAAGTCTTTCTTGCAATTTCTCTCTCGTCTCTATTTCTCTCTCTGCAATTTCCCTGTCTTTCTCTCTCCAACCTTCCCCCGCTTGCAATTACTCCCTCTTTTCTTTCTCTCTCTAAAAGAAATGAGTTTGTTTGAAGTGTTGGCAGTAAAGACAGGCGGGAGATCATTAAAAACAAGGAGGCGTACGGGGGGAATGCACGTGAGTTTCAGACAAAGTTTGTAGGCTTGAAAGATTTGAAAAAATAATTTCATTATCACCGTTATTTCCAATTTTGCCCTCCTATTCCTATCGCTTTACCCAAAACCACCACAGCCACGTGCCGTACGTTTGAAAATATTCTAAAAATTTGAAACATGGGATTAATTCCGATGAAATTGATAATCGTCAAAATATCTATTAATCTTTCTCTGTCTGAAATTTTGTACTACTAATTTTCGAAGCTAATACGAAAATTTATCTTAATTTTTAATTTTATAATTATGAAATTTTATTTGATTTTTAAGTAATTTTTAGTTTTAATTATTTTATGTCGTAAAACAATTGTATTTTTCAACCATACTTCAAAAAATGATAATATAGAATATCTAATATATTTTAAAATTTTATTTATGAAAAAATAATTTGTAAATAATATCAAATTGAAATAAGATAATTGAAATTTTCAAGAAAGATTTATG